GATTTTTGGCCAAAATATCACTTGAATAGTGAGAGCAAGGGTGAGGGGGCACATCTGAGAGTGAACCAAAGTGCTAGAGAGAGAGAGACAGAAAGAGAGAGAGTAGAGAGAGTCACTCAGTGCATGTGTCAGAGAAGAAGAAACCTTGTGAAAGGAAGGAAACTCTATGGTGTGTCCCAGGTGGGCTGTTTATCTGGCTGAGGGGGAGCCACATGTATGCAGCGTCGAGCTCTCGGTCTCGTTACAGATGGCAATTACGTCAGAATTCTCTGGGTCTCGGCCAGCGCCGCTCTGGATATACATCAAGTGACAGGCGGCGTGCTGAGCAGGATTCTCCTCCGGAAAAACAGACACGCCTCACTGACTCGCACTAACAGGCTAACGTGAGGTTTACTGAATAAAATTACAAACACAAAAGGCTTTTTTAGTGAAGCAGGTAGTATTTCTGTCTCAGTAGGTGTCTGTATTAGCACATCGCTCTCTCAGTGGCATTGAGAACTGGGTGATTGGGTGATTGGCAATGTAGGTGAGGAGAGTTAGAAAGCAGTACTGAACTGTGTCTATTAGAGATACACCTTCAGTTTGGGCTGTGAACTCAAGAAAAGCACTTAATTCCCTTGGAATGATAAGGTTCTGTTTCCGTTCTGAGCAGTTTTGAAATACAGAGCTTCAAAGATTTTGCGTTCCAAATAGCAGAACTGATATGTGGAAAAGTGTCTTTCACAGATGAAAACGTCTTCATTTGGGAGAAGGAAAAGAAAGAAAAGATGGCCGAATGAATGAAATTAATATGTATATTGTAATTAAGGCTTCATCAATTCAAGCGTTGACTATTTAATTACCTTCAAGTCTTAACATTTATATGATTTAAGACTTTTTAAAGAGCTGTAAGACGACAGGCAGAGTTTCAGCAACATGTTTTCATGTTTCTTAAAGTTTTATAAACTTTTCCCACAGTCACTGAGCAGAGCAGCGACACGACAAAGAAACAGAACCTGATTGGTCCTCTTGCGTGTATTCAAAGTGCTGACTGGCTCACAGATAGAACCTTATAGAACTAAGTTAGAGTTTGACTTTGGAGATAGAACCTGTTTGTTTTCAAGATAAAGAGTCCAAAAATGCACTCAACCTAAAAAACACCTCACATAATGTTAAGAAGTTGTCCTAGAATGTGTGACTAACTCAATTCTGGCATAAATGTCAGAATCTCATCATTTCAAGGGGGGTGAATTGCCTTTTAACCTGCTAACAGTGGCCCCATTTGTGCCGGAAACATACCCAAAGTAAAAGGAGCGCTGTTTCCACATACTTTGGGCTACAGTCATGATCTTGGTCTCATTTGAAAGTAAACACTCTCAAGTTTCTTTCCACCAATTGTCAGAATGATTGTATAAATTACTGCCACAGAGTTACTGAGGCTGGTATGGAGGTTCATATCCTCCTGACAGATCTCTAAACTGATCTCTGGCTCTTGCCGTGTTCTCAGACCACATGTTTTGGATGATGATGTCTCTGTGGAGAGCAGTGAGGCTTTGAAGGTGATGACATCACATATTTGCTAGTGTTTGCTCATTCGGTGCTTATGTTGCAAATGTGTTGATCATAATCATAAATCAGTTTGCAGGAATCTAATTCTGAAACTTCAAGCTTTCTAGCAGTATATTACATCACTGATGATTTGATGCATAAAAACTACGATTAAAAAAACAGAAGTGAACACTATGATGGAAGTGTGCCGGTACTGGTACAGTGATCTAGATAAGTGTAAACCAAGACTCTATATGTTTTATTTAAAGCTTTCCACAGACATTATCATATATTTGAGTTTGTATGTATCAGTTTTAAAGTCACTCTTCCAGTAAAGATTCCTGACTTAGAACTGCCGCCACTGTTTCCCATTCCTAACAACTAACCAAACCTGCTTAGCCTACGACTCTCATTCACAGTGACGTATCTAGAACTTCCAGCTGATGTTTTTTCCCTACAAAATTGGTCCCACTGTAAATTAAAATGCAATTGTCTGATTCTGTCTGTTCCAAATTGTGTTTGTAGTTAATCTTATGTGTTAAGACCTTTATACACTGAGCATGACAAATATAATATTTGTAAAATTACAAAAAAAAAATTTAAAAAATCATGCAGCATCTGGTGGCCTTGGTGACTCTTTCTGCAGGCCTCCTAGCAGCAGAATGGACGTTTACTCATCAGATATTTTTAATAATATAATCAAATAAAAGAGAGTAATTTACAGTATGATTAAAATTTAATAAAATATTTTTTAAATTTCTCAATTAGTTCAAACCAGTAAAATCCCTGGCTGAACTGAGGGACCTCCAAAACAGGCTAGAGTTGCATTTTATGGCTACCATGAAACATTTTGTGGAAACTCTAAGCAATATTTTTAATAATTTATGTATTTTAACAAAATGTGTGTATTTTGATTTGTGCGAATGAGGTTCAGTGAAATCTCAGAAGCCTGTCCAGTGAATGAATGTATTGTGGGCGGAGCCTGAACAGGACAACTCTGCAAACAAACATGCTGCATATTCTAGTTGAAATACAATAAACATTCTTCCATTCTTCACTATTCACTGAGTGTGTTTACATGCACTCAATAATCCGATAACTGCAGAAAATCTGATTTTGTCAGTAATCTGATCAACACGTTTAATCAGATAATGGGGAAACTCTAGGTCTTCATGAGTCGGGCAGTAATCAGATTTCTGCTTTGCAACCAGCCAAAAAACTCACAGAGGAAGACGTGATGTAAACATAACATACAACTCAAACTTCATGCGGCTTTTTTTAAACATTGAGCCACTTTACCTGAAAATATGAACTTCATCTAGAAGATGAAGAATAATCAAATCCTTTATTTCATGTTTGGTTTCAGTGTCGCTTCTAAAGTGTTTTGCTGCATCTCACGACATCCACCGTCTGATCTCGCGCATGAAAGAAATCAGAGTAAGAGTTCACATGCACTGAGAAATCTGATTACTGAGCTAAAATCCAGCCCCAGATTTGTTAATCAGATTTTTACATTGGAGTATGGTGTTTACATGACCATTTGAATAATTGGACAACTGCAGAAATCCGATTATGATTGGATTATTGAGCGCATGTATACGCACTCATTGTTCACTATTCACTATCATAGTACAATCTTTCTCACGACGGCAGTGCTCGCTGAGAAACTGGCCATTTTTTAAAGTACTCCTTTATTGCTTTTCTCTCTTTCCTCCGTGTGGTAATCTCCTTTTCACCCCTGGCTCTGTCTAATTTAATCTCACGCAACAGTGCTCTTTAATTAATCTGATTGGTGGAGGGATTTTCTTGCTGTTTCGTTTTGTTTCCGTCGCTCTTTTCTCACCCTCAGTAAGGCAATTAAACAGCAAACCCATGCACGTGCAGCATGTTTAATATACCTCTCTCGCCCTCTCTCTCTCTCTCTCTCTCTCTCTCTCTCTGCAGGGTGGAATCAAATAGAACTGGCGTTGTCACCGAGGCGTGGATAGTGTTCACTGCTGAGGTGAAATGATCCTAAAAGAAAGGATCGTTTAGACGAGTGTAGTGCCGGCTTGTCTTGCCAGGCGCCTGACTCCGTGCTGATGCTGTTTGATGTCTCATCACTCAGGGGAGTGCGCTTCTGAGGAGATAATTAAGACTGCAATAAGCTGGCCATGCAAATCACTTTTGTCACTCGCAAATCTAACCGACGCCCGTACAGCGTGTTACACATCGCCCCCCGCTTAAATTACAAACGACAATCAAACAGAAGGCCCTGCTTCTTTCTTTTAACCCCTTCCAAGTCAAAGTTATTGCTGTTATGCACATTTTTGCGTTCTCCTAAAAGGGGAATTCCACTGTTTTTGTAAAATTACTAATCATTCGATGGTTTAGACGTGAAATCATTCAGAGCGGTTTGGTTTGAAATGCGCATTTCCAGAGAAATTTACAGAGTCAGGATTGTTCAGCATTATGGTACTAGGAACCAGACATCCGACGCGTTTAATGGCTCTAAAAGCTACATCCCGCTAAGTTATTACACAAAATGGATTATGAATGCATGGTTTGATACCTGAAACACTGTTTTGTGATAGTTTTGTTTTAAGTTTTGGCCTAAAACGTATTTTTAGAATAGTTTTAATATAGGATTAGTTCCGTTGAGATCAATGCCTAACCTAACATGCTTTTGTTGTTACTAGCCTGTAGCTCCAGTCGTTCAGCACGGCTAACGGCAGGAACAGCTTTTGTTCACAGTTTTTTTTTACTGTTTTATTACCTATTTTGGAAGATGGCAGAGTATGTGGAGGACTTCGAGGAGGTCTGTCTCCAAAATGTCGTAAATCCATATCAGTTTGAACCAGAAAACACAGAGGAGTTGCAGAGGTTTGAAGAGGACAGAGAGCCAAAGGGGGAGAGAGAGAGAGAGACACTCTACTTACCCCACCCTCCACACCCCCACTCTACTCGCCCCACCATCCATACCCCCACTCTACTCACCCCACCATCCATACCCCCACTCTACTTACCCTACCCACCATCCATACCCCCACTCTACTCGCCCCACCATCCATACCCCCACTCTACTCACCCCACCATCCATACCCCCACTCTACTCACCCCACCATCCATACCCCCACTCTACTTACCCCACCCTCCATACCCCCACTCTACTCACCCCACCATCCATACCCCCACTCTACTCACCCCACCCTCCATACCCCCACTCTACTTACCCTACCCTCCATACCCCCACTCTACTGACCCCACCATCCATACCCCCACTCTACTCACCCCACCATCCATACCCCCACTCTACTTACCCCACCATCCATACCCCCACTCTACTTACCCTACCCTCCATACCCCCACTCTACTCACCCCACCATCCATACCCCCACTCTACTCACCCCACCCTCCATACCCACACTCTACTCACCCCACCATCCATACCCCCACTCTACTCAGCCCACCCTCCACACCCCCACTCTACTCACCCACCCTCCACACCCCCACTCTACTCACCCCACCCTCCACACCCCCACTCTACTCACCCTCACCCTCCACACCCCCACTCTACTCACCCCACCCTCCACACCCCCACTCTACTCACCCCACCCTCCACACCCCCACTCTACTCACCCTACCCTCCACACCCCCACTCTACTCACCCAACCCTCCACACCCCACCCTCCACACCCCCACTCTACTCACCCCACCATCCATACCCCCACTCTACTCACCCTACCCTCCATACCCCCACTCTACTTACCCTACCCTCCATACCCCCACTCTACTCACCCCACCCTCCACACCCCCACTCTACTCACCCCACCATCCATACCCCCACTCTACTCACCCCACCCTCCACACCCCCACTCTACTCACCCCACCCTCCACACCCCCACTCTACTCACCCCACCCTCCACACCCCCACTCTACTCACCCCACCCTCCACACCCCCACTCTACTCACCCCACCATCCATACCCCCACTGTACTCACCCCACCATCCATACCCCCACTCTACTCATCCTACCCTCCATACCCACACTCTACTTACCCTACCCTCCATACCCCCACTCTACTCACCCCACCATCCATACCCCCACTCTACTCATCATACCCTCCATACCCCCACTCTACTTACCCCATCCTCCATACCCCCACTCTACTCACCCCACCATCCATACCCCCACTCTACTCACCCCACCCTCCATACCCCTACTCTACTCACCCCACCCTCCATACCCCTACTCTACTCACCCCACCCTCCATACCCCCACTCTACTTACCCCACCATCCATACCCCCACTCTACTTACCCTACCCTCCATACCCCCTACTATACTCACCCTACCCTCCATACCCCCACTCTACTCACCCTACCCTCCATACCCCCACTCTACTGACCCCCAACATTACACAACTTATTTGTGTTAAGAATGACAAATATCATTAGTTTATTAATTAGTATGATTATAATTACAGTGATAATAATAATACGGTACTATTGTGATTATAATCATTAATACGGCTATTTATGTTGGTTCTTTTTATCATACTCTGTTTTCATGATGTTCACTGCTACTGTTGTGATGCTTTAGCAATACTGTACCTCACAGTCATGCTAATAAAGCTATTCTAAACTGAACTGAACTGAACTGAGAGCCAAAAGGGAGAGAAAGAGAGAGAGAGAGAGAGAGAGAAGAGAGAGAGAGAGAGAGAGAGAGACTAAACATGCCGACGCAAAGCAACCCAGAGTGAATGGAATGTGCTGGTCTCAACAACAAACTACTTGCTACTCCGCTTACCAGTTTATGAGGTAGGACAGCGAGGTAGTAGTTCTTGTTTTTTGTGTGGCCCACATTAAACAGTCTGTTCTAAGCTAACAGCCAACAGTGATATCTGCACAGAGTCTAACGACGACTGATTTATTTCACTCACAAACGTTTCTTGCCTAGATTCCAGTTTCTGCTGTAGTGTATTGCGGGTGTGTAAACCTGCGGCTCTGCAGTCAAACCGTCCCTCATGCAGGGCACTGTAGGGAAAAAATAGCACCCAAAGAAACTTTTTCAGTTTCGCAGTATTTTACCATCAGCGCGACATACAAAAACTTATAAGACACATTTATGTTCACTGGTCATTTTGTACAGCAGATAAAATGGTGATATGTGTAGTGTAGACGTGAACATATGTACTATAATGGTGAACAATTTTAACTCTGCAAATTTCTCTAAGAAGGCACATTTCACACCGAACCACTCTGAATGATTTTGTTTACATCTAAACCATTAAATGATTAATTAATTTTGCAATATCGATGGAATTCCCCTTTAAGCTAACTAATGTTAGTAGTATGGGACTGAGTCATTGAGAAGACCACGTCTCCATGTTGGCAGGCGAGCTGTAACTCTGACTGTGCTCTGATGGTGCTCGTCTCATCACCAGTACTGCAGACACAGCCCTGCAGGAGGATAAAAACCAAGCACAATAGACCAGAATGAGCACAAAACACATGAAAAGATATGTGGACGCTTTAGATGCATCTCCAGACAACGCTACGAGTAGAAGGTTAGCTAGATTGGTGGACTGGATCCATATAACCTGCACATTTACAGAGATCAGAACATTCCAGTGTGTGGGATTTTATTAAAGCTAATAAACGTGTCTGCCAAAGCTCTTAAGTAATAAACTCATACACACATAAAGCTGAAGTCAGCTTCTTAATTGCCATCTTAAATCATGCTGTAGTTACACTGAGGCACCTTAAACATAGAATGAATTAGGAAGGTTGGCTGATTTTGATACACAAACCCATGGAAATGTGAACAGACCACATGGAAAAATAATAAACAAATAAGTAAAATGGACGATATGGGCTCTTTATAAACTCTGCCCTAGTGGAGAGGAGGAGATGTGTTTATTTGTGCTGGGGGACGTTCGGGGGCCTCCGGCTGGATCAATAGAGGTTAAGTGTGCTAAGCTGCAGTGGTGCTGTGCCGTTTCTCGTGCTGAGTGTAAATCTGGGGTCCGGCTGAGGCTCTGCTGCTTTACGGGCTGCGGCTCGGATCATCGTGATAAGAGAGAGTGCGGCGTAATTACAGCCGCTGCTTCAGTGAGCAGCCAAGGGCATTTCCACTGCATTCACACTGCAAACACAGGGGCTTCCCTCACTCACCCAGCCTTCATTAGAAGGACTCCCCACCACCTCTCTCTCTCTCTCTCTCTCTCTCTCTCTTACCCTCTCTCTCTCTTACCCTCTCTATCTCTCTCTCTCTCCATCTCTCTCTCTTACCCTCTCTCTCTCTTACCCTCTCTCTCTCACCCTCTCTCTTACCCTCTCTTACTCTCTCTCTCTTACTCTCTCTCTCTCTCTCTCCCTCTCTCTCTCTTTCCCTCTCTATCTCTCTCTCTCTCTTACCCTCTCTATCTCTCTCCTACCCTCTCTCTCTCTCCCTCTCTCTTACCCTCTCGATCTTTCTCTCTCTTACCCTCTCTCTCTCCATCTCTGTCTCTCTCCATCTCTTTATGTATGTACTCTTTCTCTTTTTATGTATGTTCTCTCTCTCTCTCACTCTGTATGTATGTACTCTCTCTCTCACTCTGTATGTGTGTGCTCTCTCTTTCCTCTCTCTCTCTATGTATTCTCTCTCTCTCTCGCTCTCTCTGTATGTACTCTCTCTTTCAATCTGTATATTCTCTCTCTTTGTCTCTCCCTCTGTATGTACTCTCTCTCTTTCTCTTTCAGTCTCTCGGTATGTATTCAGTTGTTCGTGTGCTCTCTCTCTCTCTTTGCACTTACCATTTCTCTCTCTCTCTCTATGTACTCATTTGTTTGCTTCATCCCACTTTCTGATTCTGTCTCTACATTTCTGTCTCTCTGCCATCTGTCATTTCTTTATCTGTCTCTCTCTCTCTCTCTCTCTCTATATATATATATATATATATATATATGTGTGTGTGTGTGTGTGTGTGTGTGTGTCAATGTTTCACTGCCCATAAATGCACTAAATGGAAATGACCCTGCTATCAGTGCAGGACACTAAAGCTTCAGTGTAAAGTAACCCGTAACGTCCACTTTCGCTCGTCTGGCCGCGCTCAGGCATTTAAACTCAGTGTTTCATCTGGAGTGACACATTTCTGTCAGAAGTGGCAGTTCGGCTGCTTTGGGTTTGTGAATATTAATCTGCGGCGGCGAATCAGAGCTGCAGTGAAGCCTCTCGGGGGGCTGCATGGTCGAGATGTCCTTGTCACGTCATTCAAAGGCCTCAATGACTGTCCCTGGAGACAGCTGGCAAGTCCAGTTCTTTAACTGTGGGCTGTGATTTAACCAAATAAGAGAATAGAAGTGGTTCAGTAGAGAGAGAGAGAGAGAGAGAGAGAGAGAGAGAGGATATGGAAATAGAGGAATCCTGTCCTGTAAGCACTAAAGGCCTCTCTGATAGTGCCGAGTGTGCAGGCCTGATATGAATGGTGGTTTAAGTGTAAGCGAATACTCCACTGTTTGTTGGACTGGTTTATTGTCTTTTGCTTGCAGGACTCAACGTGTTGTGTTTTGGCCAAAGCCGTTCTGCAATCTGAGTCTCTGTCCGAGGATATGACCGCAACAGTGGCCTGTTCACTATGCAGTGCACTGTTTTAGAGTTTCCACTGTCCAGAATATAAAGACACATCACAATGTGCAAAAAAGACACAAAAAATTAAAAACATTATTATTATTATTATTATTATTATTATTATTATTATTAAATATTTTTGTTACTATCAATAACCTTTACATGCACTCCTATAGTTCCTTTCGTACACCTCCCACCCCTAATAAAAAGTGCACTGTTTTTTTATGTTTGCTATTTTGTATGCTTATGCAGAGTATGAAATCATTTTCTTTAACTGCCATTTAATCTCCTTATAACAGTGATCTATTATATGAACCATACACCGGTCAGGCATAACGTTATGACCACCTCCTTGTTTCTATGCTCATTGTCCATTTTATCAGCTCCACTTACTATATAGGTGCACTTTGTAGTTCTACAGTTACAGACTGTAGTCCATCTGTTTCTCTGATACTTTGTTAGCCCCCTTTTACCCTGTTCTTCAGTGGTCAGGACCCCCATGGACCCTCACAGAGCAGGTACTATTTGGGTGGTGGATCATTCTCAGTACTGCAGTAACACTGACGTGGTGGTGGTGTGTTAGTGTGTGTTGTGCTGGTACGAGTGGATCAGACACAGCAGTGTTAAACACTGTGTCCACTCACTGTCCACTCTATTAGACACTCCTACCTTGTCAGTCCACCTTGTAGATGTAAAGGCAGAGACTATTATAGTGTTCTAATACTCATTCCTGTTCCCTATAATAGCGTTCTACTATAGTGTTCTACTAGTCATTCCTGTTCCCTATAATAGCGTTCTAATAGTCATTCCTGTTCCCTATAATAGTGTTCTAATAGTCATTCCTGTTCCCTATAATAGCGTTCTACTAAAGTGTTCTACTAGTCATTCCTGTTCCCTATTATAGTGTTCTAATA